ATAACCCCTAAATCCCCCCCATCCCCCTTCCTGACCCCCACCCCCACCGCTAACCGGCGCCGCTTTGACGAGACCAGAGAGTAACAACCGACATTTACCATGGAGTAGCTTCCAATTCAATAGTCTGTCTCGATACACGTAGTATGCAAATGTCAGAATCTGATCTCCACATGTCTTTGCAGTTTATTTGGGTCTTTTTTTTAACTACATACGTATTTATTACCACCTCCCCCCCACCCTTTTCGTTACAGGCATGGGTCAGTCATACATCTATCACCCACGCTATAATATGCCATCAAAGCAAGAATACTTATGCACGAGACGAAGCTCCACAACTCCAGTGGCTCAATGAGCAGGCTACTGTCAAAGCTGATCTACCACGGTGATACATTATAGAAGGCACTGGTGATAAATTCAATGCGCTCTAAGAAATGGCCACCACATTCATCTGATCTGACACCTTACGATGTTTTAACGTCCTCTGGGGCTGTGGGAGGGGACTGGTCTATGTTACCTAGACCTTGCTGCAGTGTGTTATGCAAAGGATGCACTATTGGCTTGACGAGTGTTGCGCTTCAGCCTGTCCATATATAAAGTAAGCTCGTAAAAATCGTACGTGAAATTTGCATATTTATACGCTCTCATTTGAATTTGGAGTAATGAATCTTATGTGGTGCCAAGATCTACCTGGGACAAGATCTGGAGAGAGATATCAGACAGATGGAGCTCATTACTGGCGGGGGGTAGAGAATATAGCACAAAAACAGTGATAGATGGAAAACCTATATTAGTTGACCATACCCAATACTACGTTGAAAGGGATACATAGAGGGGGAGATAGAGAGAGAGAGACAGAGAGAGAGTAGGGATGCAGAGAGAGAGAGAGAGAGAAAAAGAGAGAGAGAGAGAAAAAGAAAGAGAGAAAGAGAAAGAAAGAGAAAGCGATAAAGAGAACAATAGAGAGAGAGTGGGAGAGAGAGAGAGAGAGAGAGAGAGAGAGAGAGAGAGAGAGAGAGAGAGAGAGAGAGAGAGAGAGAGAGAGAGGGGTGATTGTGATGATGATGATGATGATGATGATGATGATGATGATGATGATGATGATGATGATGATGATGATGATGATGATGATGATGATGATGATGATGATGATGATGAAGATGATGATGCGCTACATGCCAGTATGTATGCGAGTGAATGTTATTTGTGTGCATGCATAAATAAATATTCTCATCTTCCCCCTCAAATGAAGGCCAAAATGCCTGTAACGATTGCTTCCCTCAATTTTAGTTTTCCTTTCATGAACAAAGAGGTAACCATTTTCGCCCAAAACGCCGGGCCCCCTCAAGTCATAATTTATTTACAGAAATCTTGTCTCGCGGGGTTCCAAAATAATTAAAGGATTCAGCTCCCCTTAGAAAGCCGCCCAGAAATGCATTTCTGGTGAAGCTTTGTCCACTGCGAACGATGTTCATTAGAGGAAGAGTCCATTCCAGTGGGAAATTGTGCTTTCCTTTCTAAAACTCGGGAGGTCGAGGAAGTATTCGACCCGTCAACGTTTTACATTTCTGTCACATAGTTATCGTTAAAGAGAAGAGGAAACATTGATGTCCAGGGTAATTTTACCAAACATTCATTTTTAAATTGAAATAAAGATTTTGTAATGGGCAGGCAACAGCGATCTGCTTTTGTGGGCCGTTAGTTTGGTTTCAGAACAAGTGTTTATACCACCTTCATTTTTGTCTTTGTTGTTATTTAACGTTGTCAGAACTAGCGTGACCATGGGCATTCGCACTACATCAGACAATTTGGTCACAACGCCATGGTTGACTCTCCTCCCTTTCTCTATCTCTCTCTCTCTCCTCTCTCTCTCTCTCTCTCTCTCTCTCTCTCTCTCTCTCTCTCTCTGACTCTATGTATCTATCTATCTCTCACACTCACTCTCTCACTCCCTCTCTCTTTCTCTCTCTCTCTCTCTCTCTCTCTCTCTCTCTCTCTCGTAATCTTTTTCGCTTTATACGCCATATCCCTCTCTCTTTTCCCTTCTCCCTGTTTCTCTCGCTCTCCTATTCCCACGCAGATAAACGCACGCACACAAGCTCTCTCTCTCTCTCTCTCTCTCTCACACACACACACACACACACACACACACACACACATACACAAACAGAAGCACACACACACAAGTACACACACATACACACACACTGAAACAAACACAAAACACAAAACTCAAAACTTAAAATCAAACTGACATACATACAAACACACACACACATACACACATATACACAAACACACACACATACACACACACATACACACTCACACACATACACACATACACACACGCGCGCGCACACACTCACATTATGCTTCTTCACACCCCGTCTATGTTTGCAACTGTGCGTGTACTAAAACCTCACCGCTGGCTAAGCTACAATTCCAGATTATTGGTTGGCCGAAAATTGAGCGTTCGTGCGTCCAAGATTCTTGAGCAGTCTGAAGACTAAATCCTATCTTCAACAACAAAAAATAATATTCCCCCCTTTATCTCCCCCCTTTAGATCAAAGACATACTCTAAAGGGTGGTATAATCTCAAATATCACCAAAGGAACTCAATACATAAATCAGGAAGAGTGTAAAAACCCATTAAGATATGTCGGATAAAATCCAGACTACGCAAACAGCAGCAGGGATTCTTTATTACGTTTCTGATCAATTCTGCATTTTGGAAGGACTGCTGCGATTTCAATTTTCCCCTTCCTTTTTTTCTTTTTCAAATAATGTTCGGGGTGTTTCAATAAATAGAAATTTTCGCAAAGTGTATGAGAAAATTTGTCATTTGGATTCACGGGGAAAAAATGTGTTTGAAATACGATACGACACATTTTGCTTTTTAAAGAAGACTAATATTAATTTATTTTTTTTAATTGAGAATAAAAATTATTTTTTATTTAAAAATGAAAGATGTTCCTAGAATATTTTTTAAGAATTATAATAACATTTTACTTGACCAGCTGCAGTCATGTGGCTTACTGTAATAGGCATTCAATTGTTTGTATATTCTGCGCCCTTCTCATCAAACGTAAAGTTTAGAACTCAGGTCTACTACACTTTTGCAATAATGAATAAAACGGTTCACTTTCTCCTTATGCCACTACATGGCTGCTGAACGTATCCTTGGCATGCGCAAGCTCATGTTCCTACTTAGTCCTGTTCGTTATAGTATATCTAATACCAACATTTTGTTCATTAATTTATAACTTCGAATAAAATGGGGTGTAGATATTGGTAGATATAATGGTAAGTGTCCCTGCCAGTTACACGGGGGAGCGGGGTTTGATTCATGCGGGAAATGATTGCTTTTATTTTTGAAAATGAAAGAGAGAGAGAGCGAGAGAGAGCGAGAGAGAGAGAGGGAGAGAGAGAGAAAGAGAGAGAGAGAGAGAGAGAGAGAGGGGGAGATATATATATATATATATATATATATATATATATATATATATATATATATATATAATTGTAAGTGTTTTACGGTGCTTGCAACTGCTTATAAGGTCATATCAGCGCGTAGGAAATATTATTAAACATTATCAGTTCGTAGGAGATCTTTAATTTTGTCCGGGTGGAGGCCGAAGCCTACTCTTATCGATTTTAGACCACCTAGTGATCTTCAACATGCGCAACTTTCTTACGATATTTTTCGCCCTCTTCCGAGAAGGCTAGGTGTAGATTTTTCCTACTAGAAGATCAGGGATGTGGCTGAAAGACAGCAGTAAGAAGGAGCCAAGGAGTAGCAGTAGAAAGGCTGAAGTCAGGAGCCCAGAGGGGCGGAGCAAAGGAGCTGAGGGGGTGGGGGCAGAAAGGGGAGACGAAAGCAGACAACAGAACATTGCTAAAGAGCAGGAAAGGAAGTGAAAGGAGATACTTTTAGGGAAGAACAATTTTCCGTCCCGACCCGGATTCGAACCCGGGACCTTTGAAAGAGAGGCGAACACCCTAACCTCAAGGCCATGAGAGTCCCCAGAGAGATAGAGAGATAGAGAAAGAGAGAGATAGAGAGGGAGAAAGAGAGAGAGAGAGAGAGAGAGAGAGAGAGAGAGAGAGAGAGAGAGAGAGAGAGAGAGAGAGAGAGAGAGAGGGGGGGGGCTGAAACATAGAGAAGAGCGAAGAAAGAAACACAGATGTTGATTGAAAAGAACGAATCTGAAAGACAGACAGAGAGAAAGAAAACGTATAATAAATTTAATTCGATAGAGAGGACGATATTTTTACGTAGTCAGCAATCTCTTCAATGCTAATTAGATTTTGTCCACTTAAGAAACAGGGATTTTGCTTTAAATAATGTTGATGATAATAATGTTGAGAAGAAGAAGAAGAAGAAGAAGAAGAAGAAGAAGAAGAAGAAGAAGAAGAAGAAAAAGAAAAAAAAGAAGGAGAAGAAGAAGAAGAAGAAAAAGAAGAACAACAACAACAACAACAGCAACAACAAAACAACAACAACAACAACAAGAATAGGAACAAGAACAAGAACAGAAACAAGAACAGAAACAAGAACAAGAAGAACAAGATCACGAACAAAAAAAGAACATAAAGAACAAGCAGAACTAAAAGAACAAATATATGAAGAAGCTCTTCTTTAAATGTAGCCGACACATTAAAATGGCCGATGGTAAACAGGCATCACAGGGCTAACTGATATAACAACCTTTACAATCAGAATACTGAATATGTATCTGGCTTAACATTTTTATTTTTTATATTACTGCTCATATATAATTTGCATGTGACTGTAAGCCTGTATGTGAGTGCAAGCAAACTGCGTGTGTGTGCATTTTTGTGTGTGTCTGCCTGTGTGTGTGTATGTGTGAGTGTGTATGTGTGTGTGTGTGTGTGTGTGTGTGTGTGTGTGTGTGTGTGTGTGTGTGTGCGCGCGCGCGCGCACGTGAACCAATGTGCCAGGATCTGGACAATAAAGATGTATGTTATACCAACTTACCATGTCGTAGGTGAAGTCATCTGGTAACGTCATATCCGTTCCCCGGGCCGAGCTCCAGGTGACGCCAGCCATGAGAATCATCAACACAAATTCCGTGACGTCATAAGGAAGACGGCACACCCTGCGCATGACGACAGCAGCGTCTGTGTCATGTGAGAGAGCGACGGCAAGTCATTGGTTGATAAGTCGGTCATGTGATTCCAACTGCAGCCAGTACGAGCAACGGGGGAAATTTCGAAGGTTGTAAGCCAGTTACAGTTGATTTGTCTAGATGAGACTTTTGTCATCTGTGCGCTGGTGGCTCTGAACTAATCATCTTATGTTCATGCCAGGCGCCTGTAGTCCTTCCATACCTCCTCCTACAACAAACAAAAAGCAACCCTGATTTTTACTTAAAGCTTACTTAAGCAACTTTTACACTCCAAGTTTTAAAAGCGTGTGTGGTTGTTTTTCAGCTGCTTAATACAAGCTTTAACACATTTGTAAAACAATAATCCATAGATCCGTACTGTTTGATGAGGTAATCATTCAAATATCTCATACGGCATCATTGTAGATTAGTGTTTTTTAAAAGTCATCTCTTTCACTTTTTTTTCTCTTTGTGCAATTATTAGATTTTCTGTTTGAACCGAAAGAGAGTGTCTCCTGATCTTGTTTTACTTTTCAGTTAAAAAAACAACAACTCCTGATTCACCTGCATTCACATATTCTCACCATAGCTTCAGATGTACCTTTTTGTCTAGATCTACATACCCTCTACAATCAGCCGAAGAGGGGTTTTATTTTACTCTTTATTCACTGTCTTTGCGGCTTTTTACACATGCACGTTTAATCCGCTCTGTTCAAACTTTTTTTTCTCTCCTCTCTCCTTTTATTCCTCCATATCCGTCGAATATCCTTTCCTTCGCAGGTTCCTTTGAAACCCACACTCGTGATTCCCCATGTCAGCAGCGGTTTGTCTATCAAAGTGGGAGCAAATTTCGCCGGAGCGCCGGAGAGGTGATGAGCTACTGTGCCCAGAGGTGACAAAAAATCTCAACTCAATGATTGGATGTCTCCGAAGTTGAAGAAACGCTCCAAGCACGGGCTCTCAAACGTCTCGAGAGGTGCAGAGCTGTTTATCTCCCGTGGGGTCCCCGAAGACGCCACTGTAGCTTCAGAGGCGTCCACACAAAGGTTCTGAAAGTAAGAAAAAGTGATCTCAGGGTTTGTTTGTTGTTGTTTTTTGTGGGGGTTTTTTGTTGCTTTTGTTGTTGGGTTTGAGTTTTTGGTTTTTGGTTTGTTTGGGTTATTTTTAGTTTCTTTGTTGTTTGTTTTTTGTTGTTTTATTGGGGTTGTTGTTTTTTTGGGAGGGGGGGGGTTGGGTTTTTTTTCGAAAGGGGTGGGGGGCTGTGGGTTTTTATTTTGTTTCTTTCATATAATGTATTATACCGAAAAAGGCATTACATTGTCTTGTATGCGTAGACAAAGAGATTTCTTTCGCGCATACACGCTAATGGTTTTCATTGCTTGGGAACAAGCGGATCTAGCTAGTTCACGACTACAGATTTTGTTTTTGAAAACAAACGAATAATTTTTTTTTTCAAAATTGGTCTATATAATGACTTGTCTAATCAAGCTGTCGGTTGCGTGTTTAGTTTTGCTTTTCTTTAGAACTCACCACGCTACCGTTCATCGTTGTTTGTCTTGACGCTAAAACTACTAGTTCATCATTCTTGGCAAGTAAGACTATGTAAGACTAATATAAAGAGATTTCTATTTGTTCGTTTAAAATCTAACAATTGGGTCATCGTGGATAAAAAATAATAATGATGATGATGATGATGATGATGAGGATAATGATGATGATGATGATGATGATAATGATGATGATGATGATATATAATATATATTTTCTGGAAACACAACAAGGTCTTAACTGTTTTAATACCTTCTTTATACAATGATGATGATGATGATGATGATGATGATGATGATGATGATGATGATGATGATGATGATGATGATGATGATGATGATGATGATGATGATGATGATGATGATAACAATGATGATATTAGAATAATAATAAATATAATAATATGAACAATAACAGTAATATTATATTATTATTATTATTATTATTGTTATTATCATTATTATTATAGTGATAGAGCTTAAATCAATTTCCGACATCCCATCGGCTAAAGAGAATATTTCTGGAGCAAAATAGAAGACGCCGCCTCTTCTCTAGCCAAAGAGATCAATTCTGGCAGTGAAACGTTTGCCACTTTCTTGAGCATTTAAAAGCTTCATTGCCTCTTTTGGACGTTGCAGTCTCCCTCGGTGTTGACTTTTCTGATTCTCTAAAGAACTGTTGCCAATTGCATTATTAAATTATTATTTTGACCTTGCGTTCGACAGTGTAATACCCATGACCTCATAGTTGGCATAGCTAGAATCAAGCTGGGCCAAAGTATAGATGCCCTTGATTTGAGTCTCCGAGTAGTCGTTCTAGAACTTACGTTTTTTGTGCAGTATTTCAGACTCTCTAAACAGTTTATTTTATTTGTCCTTTTAGAGGTGCTTGTTACTTTCGGATCTTACATCTCTTTAATAATCTTACACAGTTGGAAAGGTCGTTAAAACTTTTCCTTCCGACTTGCCAACATATTTTTACTTACTTCCTCCAAATGCCAAAGTCGAGTGCTCGCTCAAAAAGTTTGGTTCCAAAAAGAGCGAAACTGTATGCTTCTTGGTGAACTGGAATGACGTAAAACAGCCCAATCTCAGACATCACAGTACAAGTCTATGGATGTTACATGGAAACTTTGCTCCCTTTACTTTGTCTTCTTTCTGAATCATTTCTCTTTCCACCAAGCATAATAGCCGCTCGCAGAGACAACCCGTTGTTCTTTTTGTGTAATATAGTGTAAAGCGCATGGAGCCTGCTGTTGAGCGGGGATATGCGCTATACAAATGCTATCTATTATTATTATTATTATATCAATCAATGTAAATTTAGATCTGCAAACTAATGAAGCACATCTGTCTGAATTTTGCTCAGACATCGGAAGAGATGTATGAAGCTGAGTCATTCCCTGTTGTTAGCAATGACACAATGACAATCGTTACATTCCCACAAAATTACAGCTGCAATGGACAATAAAACAATCCTCATGGACAAAAACCTAAATCCTCAAGGCCTCTTCTTCGAAGCATTTCCCGTCGGTTGTTACAGGAGCCTAGAGAAGGCACGACCGATCCTGCTAAAATGGCAACCTGTTCAAGACAATCATAGTGACAAACGGCCACGTCCTATTCCCCTTTGATTAATTATATTGTTATATAATATATTCTCACTAATTTTACCTCTGAAAACTGGTGATCCCCACCTCCTTCATTCACTAATATTTCGACTTGTATTCAAGATAAATAGATATTTTTTTCAACCAAATAAAGACAAGT